TTGCTCAATCTTTTCTTCATGAGTAAGATTATTTTGAATAGGCTTTATTATAGCCTATTCAAAACTTATGCATTATGCTTTTGAAAATACATGAATGATTTTTAATTATAGGATAAATTCACATAAACAACTAATTGGTTTATGTGTGCTAGAATATGTCCCCTATGGTTTGTTTAAATTTCAGAGCTATGACTTTTTTTGGTAAAATTTTTAGCATCTTTAATAAGTAAACATTCTCCTTCACTTGAATCAGAATCTGATCTTCATTCAGAAATGCTTATTTCAATATCTGGCTTTGGAACAATATAGAATAATTCTGCTTTTCCATACCACTATCCATTAAAAGTTTCAGAACAACTTTCAGGACATAGTCATTAAGAATATAAATCATTAAACATAGATTATTACAATTTTATAAATTATTACATTAAAACTTCCTAAGACCAAGGATCTTAGTTTATCTACTTGCTTCAGAAAATTCATGCTTGTCATAGAATTATATTTGGATTTCATACCTTTTTATGTGTACTCATGTTTATACTTATTTAGAGTTGACCAAATAAATAATTCTGACTTCATAATGACTGAATTAGAATTTGAGATCATTTTATGTTCATATTTTGCTTAAGACAGCTGTAAATAACTGTTATTTTTTATGTATCATCTTCTAAATATTAGCCTCTTTCTGTTCATTATCCCCTGTAGTTTCCCTAATACAGCAATATCTTAAATATTACAGACCAGTGACCACTGGTATAGTAGGCATAGTTTTTTGGTTTTTTGACTTATAGCTAAACAGAATACCTTTACAGACATTAAAGATGAATAATGCCTCTAAAAAATGAGATACAAATGGTATGTCATCAGAAACTTTGAGAAATAAACATGCATTAATAATTCCATTTTAGTTAGTCTTAATTAAAATGAGTCTTTTATCAAGCTAATTTTTATCATGTTTGCTAAGTAAATAGCAGCATATTTAGCTGCAATTTGAATTACTAATAAATTGATAACATTCTCCTCTATAATTGAGGTTTGAGTTATCTAGTAACTGGTACCTAAATAAATTAATAGTCCTAATTTGTTAAATGGACTTAGAATGGAAGCATTATTAACATATCTGTTGGCAGGGGCATTTAGATAAATTTACAACAGCTTTAGAAAATTAAGTGAAATTAAAATCTACCTATAATTAAGAAATAAAAAACAACAAAAATGTGTTAAAGCATAAATACATTGCCTACATTATATAAACTTTATAGTCTAGTTGAATAGTTGATCTTGTGGGAATGATGAAAATGCAACAGTAGGTTAAGTTCCTGGGAGAAAATACATTCATCTGGACAATCAATCATTTCATTATATCAGTCACCACTTCTGATTCTTGAAATACACATACATACAACTCACAAAAATCAAGATTGAAGGTTACAACATAGTATGTATAAAAATGGAATTCAAAACATCCTACTTAGTGAAATATATCCATGCAATCCAGACTATTGGAATCCTCTGACATGTAAACAAACTGTATGGTGTGAATGTTTGTTTCCTCACCCAATTTCAGATATTGAAGTCTTAACCCCAGAAGATTATGGGATTAGGAGGTGGTATTATTCAGGCATGGGATAATGTTCTTATAAAAGAGACCACATGGAGATCTCTGGCCCTTTCCTACATGTGAGGACACAGTGAGAAGGCACCTACCATGAACCAGGGAAAAAGCCCTTACCAGACAGTACCACACTAGTGACATGATCTAGGATTTCTCAGCCTCCAGAACAGTAAGAAGTAAATTTCTGTGGCATTTTGTTATGACGGCCCCGAACAGACTGAGAAATATACCCTCTGTGAGTCTAGATAATGAAGTTTATTCTAGTCACATAGCAGAATAAAAAAATAACATTAGAATGTGGAGAATTAACATCTATTGAAAATTTGATATTATTTCAAAACAATGTTTTCCTAATGTTTTATGTTGAATTGTTAGGAATGTGTGTGTCTGTGTATACATAAATTGTGTTAAAATATATCCCCTGAGATCACAGTAGACCTTCTGTGTTTAAGTAATTAGCAGATATCTTTCAAAGTTAACATGTTGTGTAGATATTATAGAAAAAAAAAAAGCCAGGTTGTTACCAAAACTTAAAAATGCTAGATGAACTTCTCCTTTTTGTAGTCAGCATAGCTAGCTTCTGTCCTGGATTTTATTAATAGTTTTAAGGATTTGGATAAATTATTTAATCAGAAAGACCAGGGTTTCACACTATAAAATGAAGATGTTTCAGTAATTTTTGTAGTACCTTGCAACTCTAAAATTCTACATTTTGTGATATACTACTTATGTGATGGTTAACTGTCTTAATTTAATCCATTGACCATGGAAAGTCATTGTTTTTAAGATTCCTTATTGACTATATTTTTAGATATTGATTATATTTTAGATACAAAGTTAAGTGGTTTTAAAACTTACCATAAATGTTTCTTCAAATATTTTTTTATGATGAATCAAAGAGTTTATTCAAGGGATTAGATCTGGTAGACAGAGGGCCTGAAGAACTATGGATGGAGGTTCGTGACATTGTACAGGGGGCATTTATCAAGAACATCCCCAAGAAAAAGAAATGCAAAAAGGCAAAATAGTTGTCTGAGGAGGGCTTACAAATGTTTGTGAAAAGAAGAGGCGAAGGAGAAAAGGAAATATATGACCATTTGAATACAGAGATCAAAAGAATAGCAAGGAGAGATAAGAAAGCCTTCCTCGGTGATCAATGCAAAGAAATAGAGGAAAACAATAAAATAGGAAAGACTAGAGGTCTCTTCAAGAAAATTAGAGATACCAAGGGAATATTTCATGCAAAGATAGGCACCATAAAGGACAGAAATGATATGGACCTAACAGAAGCAGGATATATTCAGAAGAGATGACAAGAATACACAGAAGAACTACACAAAAAAGATCTTCACGGACCAGATAATCATGGTGGTGTGATCACTCACCTAGAGCCAGATATCCTGGAACGTGAAGTCAAGTGGGTCTTAGGAAACATCACTACAAACAAAGCTAGTGGATGTGATAGAATTCCTGTTCAGCTATTTCAAATCCTAAAAGATGATGCTATGAAAATGCTGCATTCAATATGCCAGCAAATTTGGAAAACTCAGCAGTGGCCACAGGACTGGAAAAGGTCAGTTTTCATTCCAATCCCAAAGA